TCAACTGAAACAATAAAGGATAGATAAAATCTTCAGGTGTTCGGTGTCACATAGGTGGGCCAAGGCTCTCCCATTTTCAGTGTGCTGTCATACCAAACACTTCCACCTAGAGGGCCTTTTGGGGGTTTCTTGATTCTCAAATAGGCCACGTAGCATTCTTTGGCAGCAACTTGGTTTCCTCTGACTTTTCTGATCCCACAGAAGGTTAGGAAATGAAGAATAATGTGATAGGCGGACGGCATTGCCCTTAGGGTGTTGAGTGCAGGGAGTCCAAATATGATATTGTAGGTAGAGGGACAGTCCAATACGCTGAAGTTTACCATGATGGTAGAGCTTCTTGGTGCTGTCCCTACGGTGACTTGTAGGGTGATGGAACCCAAGGGATAAACCCTATCCCCTGATAATCCAACAATGGGTGTCTTGATGGGTTGCAATCTCTCCCTATCGAGGTTAGTGCCAACAAGATATCGGTTGAATTGTCATTTCGACCAAAATTCTCTTAACCTGGTAGTTGGCTACCATCATGGTTAAGACGAGGGGATCATCTTGAGGGAGTTGGATTCCCTCAAGACCCCTATCTGAGAAGGTGATTATCTCCTCTTTCCCTTGTCGGGGTATCTTAGTCGGGCGAGATTCATGTGATTTTGCCTGTCTGGCTTTCTTAGCAAAGTTAGAGTCGCCTCATCCTCCTAACCTGTGGAGATTGTCTGGATTTCTCCGAGGAGTTGCTGGCGTTCTCTGTCACCCTAGTCTCGGCTAGGTGACGAGATTTGTCCTCTGCTAGTAACGTACTACCTCAGCTGGCCACGCTGTATGAGCTCTTCGATTTGCCTCTTAAACTCGTAATAGTCATCAATATCGTGACCATGATCGCAATGCAAATGACAATACTTGCTTGGGTTTTTACGATTCGGGTGAACTTCATTTTTCCAGGCCAATGGAGCATGGGGTCATCTTGTATCTTGAACAAGATGTGCTCCACCGAGGCGTTGAGTGGCATGAAGGGTTGCCATTCTCTTTGGGGTACTGGACCAAGACGGTCTTTGACAAAGACTCTCTCGGTTCGTTGTGTCTTGCTCTCTATCTCCCCCTTGTCTTCACGGGTGTCCTTCATTTTCTCTCTTCCTCAAGAAGATTCACCTTGACGGACTTTGGTGAAATCCTCGGTGTTTATGTACTTCTGTGCCCCTGACAGCAGCTGGGGCATACTGCAGGGCGGCTTCTTGATGACGGAGAACATGAAGCTAAAGGAGCACAGACCAGCAATAAAGGCGGTCAGAGCTACCTTATCGTCTGGCTCCTCGATCTGGAGAGCTTCCTCATTGAAACGAGTGAGGTTGCTCCTACGGCTTTCATCCCAGTCCTGCTTGATGGTGAGCAGGTGGGTAACAGGCTTCTGATATCGGCGTTCTGCAATGAAATGGGAGACGAAAGATTTACTCAGCTCCACAAAGGAGTGGATAGAAGAGGGTTTGATCTTCACGAACCATTGTCGAGCAGACCCCTTTAAGGTGGTGTAGAAGGCTCTACACATGATCTCATCTGGCACGTTGTGGAGTTGCATAAAAGACTTAGAAGTGTTAAGATGATCTAGGGGGTCCTTGGTACCATCGAAGATCTCGATGATAGGCATCTTAAACTTCGAGGGTAGGAGGTACTTGACGATGTCTGTAACAAACGGGTTATCAGTGCGCCTTACTAGGTAATTTACCGTTTTGGAGGCTTGTGCCTTGATGGCGTTGAGGGTGTCATCGAGTTAGTTTTGTACCTCTCTAATTTTCTCATCCCATTGGTTGGAGACAACCTCTATCGGGTTGTTGTAATGGCTTCCATGATCGGCATACTAGCTTTCTCCTTCGTACTCCTGCATAGATACATGAGGAGGGGGAATATGTGAGTTTCCTTCGCACTGAGGAAGGACTACTGGGTGAGGGGCCCCATGGTAGGGGGTTGCTTGGCGCCCAGAGTGGATAGGTTATTGTGTTTCTCCCATTGGAAGGAGTGGTATTCCTCCTATAAGTTGAGGGGCGATGCCTCCCTTGGCGAGCAACAACTAAATGATTTGCTCGTTCTGCTTTACCAGCAGCTACATAGTCGGTAGAAACTATTGTCCGACGATGGGAGTCGTTGTAGCAGATGGTTCTGAGGGTGCGAGGGGAGGCGGAACTCCCTCATGGGGGGTCGGGTTGTTGTCTTCCGGTTGTTAACTTATCAATCTGGTCGTGATTATCATGAAGTAGTAAGGTAGTAGAAAACTTAGTCGATTCTTACAGATGGTGCCAAACTATTGCCGCACAAAACTGTCTCGTGCAAGATCAATAGTCGAGTATGTGATAAATGTATATTTAATGGACAATTAATAAAGTAATCAATGACAAAAAAGAATAAATATTGGGTCAACACACAGATATATAGTTGTTTGGTCCGAATGACTTATTCCACTCCAAGAAATGGCTACGGTGGCCGGTGAACCTTTATTGATGAAATAAAGTAAGAGAGAGGAAGAAACAAGGCTAGCTCCAGGAGTGGTACAATAGCTAGAAGAGAGAAAGTATGTAGAGAGATGTGGTGAGATCACTGTGTCCTCTCACGTAGAAAGGACTTATAATTTATAGGCACAGAAACTTGGTTGAGGCGGTAACGTGAGGGTAAAGGTACTAGGTCTTCGGAGAGGATAGCTACAAAAGGTAAGTGCAATTAAGGTAGCCTTGATCCTCAAGGGTGTGTATCCCGATGATTTCTCTCCACGTGCTCTAATTCTTCTTGGACTCTTCGAACCTTGGGTTGAATGAATTCACGAACTGAGCTCGATCTATCTTTTAGTTGATTTGGGTTAACTTGATTTATTGGGCCTGACTCAGTTAGATTTGGGCTCATCAGAGGACCTACCTAAGGGTTATCTTTGAAAAAATGTGGTCACTTCTAGCTTCAATATAAGGCTTTATTTGTTTTGTTCAAATGGTCAGAGTGTTCGGTCTAACTTTCACGCACCTCAACTACGTTCCCTGGTGATAGGCAAGCCATCTACGATTGGGACTAGAGTATTCATGAGCGATAAATCCTTCGTGGTCTGGCCTCAATACAATTGTCAAGATTTAAATTCAGAATGTCTAAGCAACACATGACACCTACACCTTTATTTGGGCGCAAATAAGGTCATCTGCGTTACAGTCGGCATAAAAATAATTGATTTCCACACGTTTAATGATTTCAATTTTCTTCCTCCACCTTCTTCCTGGAATGTAAATGCCTTCCAGCCCACAAGAATAGAAAATATTTCTGGCTCCAATGATACACTTCAAAAAGATAAATGCCCTTCATTCCAATCCAGCCATTTTCCCTCTTAACGAACTTCTGAAAAATAATAAATCTAATGAGACAATAAACTTGAACAATTACTATAATTGTTTATCAAGCAACCGTATGCATATCATGACCAGGTATTACTCGCAGAATAATATGTTGCATGGAAAATACCAACCTTTTTCAGCATATGTTCTTCAATTGAATGACAGGAGCTACTATCGTTTCAAGCCTCCAAGAGAGTGTTTTTTTTTTTGCGTACACTGTGTGGTAGATAAGTGACTGAATAATGTCATTTTAGTGCTGCCGTGTTGCAATTTAGATAGTTGGCTTCTTGGAATCCTCATAAAATGCAAGCTTGGGTTTTGAAGAGATAGTTGTAGGGGTGTCCATTTGTCGGTATACAAAAGCAACGCACTCAACCATTTTTACTCTATCTTTTTCTTCAGCAAGTCTGCACCAGTTCAATGTTGTGGCATGAGTGCGATGCTGTTGTGAATCAAAATTTGAAGACAAAATTTCAATTTAAATTTTGACATCAAAATGAAATCAAAATCGGAACACCACCGTTGGTGCCACTGCCAAAGACCTCTCGACATTGTAACTGCGCCTCCATCGCCCTTACTCCATTACCACTCTTTAATCTTTCTTCTATTTCTCACCAACAACCACCAAACATCCCAAAACCCAAAATCACCCATCACCAACAACACATTGCCATCACCAACACTGGCCACTACCCAACACTAATTCACATAAAATCAAAACATAAAAATCTAAGACCGATTTGAGTCCAACTCACTTCATTTGAAAAATCAAAATAGAGGTGGTAATAGGCGACGACTGGTTGGAAAAGATGAAAAGAAAGAAAAAAAAAGTATAGGTGGTTGCTGGTAGATATTGACAGTGAACTAAGGTAAATGAAAGAGATATGAAAAGGCATCCAGGGATGGCTAGATATAATGGGGTGGTTGTAGAAAAGAAAAGTGGAAGAAGAAAGGTGAGTGTTTAAACTCATTTTGCATCTCATTATTAAAAGCAACGTTTTCAAAAAATAAATGAGTTTGAAAAATAAGTTTGAAAATGACTAGATTTAGATTAACATTTCGAGAAGAATGAATTTAATAAAAAACTCACGACCTTTCTAACTACAATTTTTTTTTTGGTGGTTTAAAAACTATTTATACCAAATCAATTATTAAAAATAAATAAAACTCATTAAAAGAAATTATCCCAAATTTGTATTAAACATATTTGAGAATAGTAAAACATTAAATCGGTGCTCGATTCAAAGCATAGAGACCCAAAAGAAGAAAAAATACTATTTAAACCTAATTTTAGAATTTAAATAATTACAACTGTTTAATTAAAAATTTATTTCACCAAACAATTAATCATAATTATAGAAACTCTCCGAAAACTCTTGCATCATTAAATAGATAAAAACATATTAAAAATCTATTAATAAAAAATAAATAATAATAATATAAATATCTAATTTAGAGACTCAATTAGTGACCTAATTCATTGATTTCAAGTAACAAAAATTGAATCAAACGGTCAATTGAGAAAACTTGGAGGTAAAGAAAGTATAGCTTGGTTTCCAAATTTGGGGCAACGGTAATAAAAAAGAAAAAGGAAACAAAATCAGAGATTTAAAACCAATGATCTCGTCAGAGAGACACAACCAACAACATATATATATATAATCAGAAACTCAGCAGACGACATCGACCTCCTGAGTCCCAATTTACGAACCTCCACCTACAATCTATCTCCGTAAACCCTAAATTCCACCACCAGATGATTTCTCTCTCCTCTCTCCTCTCTCCGACAATATTCAGCATTGTAATGCAATGGAGTCGATGATCGAACTCTGCGATCTGATCGCACAAAATCCTTCGCAATTTGCTGATAAATTGGCTTGGATTTGTGGACGATGTCCACCAATTGACTCTGTACTCGCCACCGCTAGATTTCTTTCTAAATGCCCCAATTTCGACGACATGAGGCCCTAACCGGCAGTCCTAGGGTTTTTTGGGTCGATTCCGTATTCTTTTGCCCAATCTTTTTGGCGACAGTCGTTTGTAAGCGATTCAATTGCTTCGTACGATTTCTTGAGTTACATGAATAAAGCCAGTGAATTGTCCTCGGATTTTGCAATGGCCGTTGCGGAGTATACGGTAGAGATTGTGATGTCAGCGGTTAACAATGTCAGTGGAGATTTGGGGGTTTCAAGGTTTTCTTGAATGCTCTGTCGCAAAATTTTCCTCCAATTCTTCCTTCCGATGCAAACAAATTAGTGTCCACTGTTCTAGATGGATTTGAAATTTCGTTTCCTAGTTCACCGAGGAGCTAGATTCGACAACTCCTGAAGCGTCATCGTCTTTTTTGGGTCGATTCCGTATTCTATTGCCCAATCTTTTTTGCCACAGTCGTTTGGAAGCGATTCAATCTTTTGATTTCCTGAGTTATGTGAGTGAAGCCAGTGAGTTGTCCTCGGATTTTGCCATGGCCGTTGCGGAGTATACGGGAGAGATTGTGATGTCGGCGATTAACAATGCCGGTGGAGATTTGGGGGTTTCTCTGTCGCAGAATTTTCATCCAATTCTTCTTTCTAATGCAAACAGATTAGTGTCCACTCTTCTAGATCGATTTGAAATTTCGGTTCCTAGTTCACCGAGGGAGCTAGTTTCGATAACACCTGAAGCGTCATCGCCTCAGTGTTTGCCACTCAGTGCGAACCATTATCAATCAAATGAGAGAAACAGTCCAGGAAACGAGGTCAGCAATGCCTCTGGTTCTTCTAGCGGTGACCCTTCAAGGGTTACAGATGAGGCGACCAGTGCATTGTGGTCGAAAGGATTGGTGATGAAAGGGGGCAGCCTTGCGTGGAAGAGCAATGTGGATATATTTGGGGCTGATATTGGGTTCAATGATGAAGGACGAGGCGGTTCCGCAACGTACAAGCGAGTGGTAGCCTCTTTTGAGGAAGAGCCTGTGGAGAGCCTTCAACAACAGGAGATTGCTTTCAAGCTGATTGGGCACATATTGGATAAAGTCCAGATTGATCTTAAGCTTTTGTAACAAATGAGGGCCATCGCAATTTGCAAAGGAGCAACTCCAATCAATGTTGGCTTTCCTAAAGGTAAAATTCATGGGTATCCATCCTTTTGGTTTCGAAATTTATTGATGTCTTGATGAAATAACTATAGAGATGAATGAAAAAATCTGGTTAAAATGTTTGGGTTTGTTGGCAGATATGGAAGCGTGACTGGACGGAACAGGGGCAGTTACTGAAAGTTAGAATCAATACAGAGCTGTCGGTTTACCAAGCTGCAGCGGGGTTACAAATCAAGAGTCTTTCATCTGTTGATTTGAATGGGAAGTCATCAAAGAGGTTGTTGCATGGAACTTTGGCATTGTTGATAGAAGCTGCTGAAGCATGTTTATTCTGTGTCTGGCAAAAGTTGAGAATTTGTGATGAGCTCTTCAGCTCATTGCTTGTTGGGATTTCCTAAATTGCTCTCACTCGATGTGGTCAGCTGCTGCATGTCTTGCTCATTCGCTTCAAACCCCTTGTGATAAGTACTGTGCTCGGGTACATTATTTGTTTGCTTCGGGCTATCTCCTACAGCTGGGGCGTATCTTGGTAACATGATTCTGCAATATGTTGCACTTTTTGGATAAACTTTCATTGTAATATATATATTTTTTCAAACAGGCAGAGACTTGGGGCAGATTTTCTAGGACCTCTATTTCTTGCTGTGGCTGAAATATGTTCAGATTTTGATCCTACTGTATATGTGGAACCTGCACTTTTGAAGCTATTTCGCAATTTGTGGTTCTATGTCACTCTCTTTGGGTTAGCACCTCCAATACAAAAAACTCTATATATGGTAAGTCAGTTTCCCATAATCTGAATAGTGTGGGGAGCATGGGTGCAATTGATCTTCAATCTGAAAGTGTCATTTTATGGGTCTCTTTTGTCTACATGTTTGTGCTTTAGTTTTTCTACTAGTCATTATTCAAGGCATAAAACTATTCTGCTGCCACTTACTTCTTTACAGTATTTTATGTCTTACATTTTTTGTGCCATAACTCAATGTGACAATTACTTGAATTTTTGTGTCAATTACTTGCTTATAGTATTTTATTTCTTAATTTTTGTGCTATGATTCAATGTGTAATATTGCTTATTGAATGCAGTACCTTAAAGAGGGAGGAAAAGCCAACCTATTAAAATTTGGGAGGCTCATAAAGCGGCAATCCAAGAGGTTGGTTTTTCTTTGGGCATTGTGTAGTATTTATTTTGCGGTATGATTTTTTTTAGCATTTTCTTTTCTCTTCTCGTGAAGTTCTTAATTATCATTCTCGATCTTCATCCTTTGCTTAAGATTTCTTGCAGTTATCGAACTACAAAGGTACTGATGTTAAAACTTGAAGATCCTACACCATATTGCTTTGGATACAAATGAACAATGGCGGTTTTGTTTATGGTAATCCAGGTTTAAGTGACACAACTCTGCACATACTTTTGAAGAGCATACAGGTCGGCTCCTTGCATGTTTACATTTTTATTCCCTTTGAATATCTTTGAGTAGATGTTCTATTTTTCATTTTTAAATATTAATAATGTGTTTTCTTAACAATTGTGGTAGTTGTTTGAAAGTTTTCACCGGTAGTAATTATCGTATTTTAGATGATCTTTAAATTTGTAANAATCTGAAAGTGTCATTTTATGGGTCTCTTTTGTCTACATGTTTGTGCTTTAGTTTTTCTACTAGTCATTATTCAAGGCATAAAACTATTCTGCTGCCACTTACTTCTTTACAGTATTTTATGTCTTACATTTTTTCTGCCATAACTCAATGTGACAATTACTTGAATTTTTGTGTCAATTACTTGCTTATAGNTGTGAAAAAAGAACACCCTAGTTTTCTGACTCCAATTGACTAGGATGCAAAAATGAAAATGTCTTGGTGGCATCTTGCATCATGACACCTCATAAATTCAAAGTAACGCGATGTAGCCAAGGCGTTCGACAAAAGTCCTGATGCTTGTCCTAGGCTCTCGTTGTAATGTTTCTGCAGTTCAAAAGATGTCCGCTAAAGTCACTTTGAAAAATCTCCGTAAAGCATATATAAGGGGAGGAGATAGTTGAGGGGCACCAAGGGTCTGGCTAGCCTTGTGCCCCCAGGCCTTGGCACCGTTAGGCAAAATATAAGTGTGTCTATGTTTCTTAGGTGTATTATTAGTATATGAGTGTGTTTCTTTGGTGTATGAGTGTGGGTGGACGGAGCATATGTTTTGCTTTTTTTGGGGGGGGGTATATTAGTGTGTATTAACACGGTGTGTGGGTGTGCATACATATACTGATTAGCTGGGTTGTGTGTGTGTTTTGGTTTAGGTGAAACCGAGATGAATTCTCTTCTGTTGCTTTGGCTTCTTTCGAGAAAGGAAAAAGTCTCAGCTCAGCAATTGATTGTGGATTTTTCTTTTCTTTTGCGGCATCCCTGCAGCCTTCTTTCTTTTGGATCTTCTTATACTACCCCCTTTTTCTGATCTATTGCGTCGACCTTTGCTTTCGATTTCGGATCAGCCCTTTCGTCCGACTCTTTTCCTTATACCAAAAAAAATAACATAAAACTATGAAAAATACTGGGAAACATTAATTTTATTATTTTATGATATGTTATTCTTAAGGTTCCCCGATATTTTTCATAGTTTTATGATATATTTTTTTTGTATATTAATGGATTTTTTTATTAATGTGTGTTTTTTAGTGTTTTAGTGTCTGTGTGCATTTGCATTCGTGTAATAACGTGTGTTTATTTTATATTAGTGTCTGTGTTTTTGGTGGATTAGCTTGTGTTAACACTACTTGTGATGGAATGTCTACATTTTTGTGTGATTTTAGATGGTGTATTAGTGTGTTTGTGTTTGTGTAATAGTGTGTTTTGGTATGTTGGTGTCTATGTTTTTTGATGTGTTATGTGTATATTTTGGTGTATAAGTGTTTGTTAACACAACGTGTGTGGGTGTGTATTTATTAGTTTGTTTATGTGTGTTTGTTTTAGTGGTGGTGTGCGCATATGCGTGTATTTGTGTAATAGTGTATGTACGTGTGTGTGCGTCTTTGGTGTGTTAGTGTGTATTTTTTTGGTGTATTAGTGTGTGTATATTTTTTGATTTAAGAGGACGGTGTGTTTTCATTAGTGTAAGTGTATTCTTTTAATCAATGTGTTATTGTGTGCGTTTTTATGTGCACAATGTGTATTTATTTTTATCAGTTATTTTTGGTGTATAGGTTTTTATGTTTATTGGGTGTGGTCGTTGGCGCGTATGATTTTATGATAGTATGTCTGTATCTTTCTTATCTGGAGTGTTTTTGTGTGTTGATGTGTATAACGTGTTTGTGTGTGTGGTTATTACTCTATTTTTTTTATGTTATCGAAGTGTTTGTGTATGTGCCTCCTTATGTGTCTGTGTTTTTATTTTTATTATGTGTATCTTTGTTATTATGTGACTATTTTAAAGTTTTTGACTCTTTGGGAGGCTTACAAAGCAATAATCTACCAGTTATGAAGTTATCTTTAGGCAAGTTTTTTGCTGGTTAACAAGATGTTGCTTAATTTAAGTTATGATTGTGTAAGTTTTTTCATTCTCTTTTTTTACACTTGTCAAACTATAATTTGGATAGGAATGGCTGATATGAATTTTTGTTAATGATAATGCAAGTTCTAATGAGCTTTGGAAGGGGAGGACGATTGCATACATTCATAGGGAATACAAGTTTGTTTTCTTGCATGTCTACGTGACTTTCTTTTGCATATATTTTAGTGCATACGATAGTTTCTATTTAAAATGTAATGATTTTTATTTTTCCTTAGTAATTGTTTGTGGGGGGCGATAGAAATATGATTTGGTCTTTACCGTAATTGGTCTATTGTTCATCATTTAAGGTATGTGACTCCAATTTTGTCAATTCATTCCTTACAATTTTTTGTTCTTTAAAATTGTTATGCCATTTTACTATTGTGTAACGAGTTTAGATATTCCCTATTTATTGCAGTACATTAAGGCAATGGAAGAGATGCCAACTTGTTGAACTTTGGGAGACACTTACAAGGCAACAATCTAAGCAATTATGAAGTTCCTCTTAGGCGAGTTTTCTATGGGTGAACATTATTTTTGCTTTTGATTTGAGGTATGATTGTGTAAACTTCTTTCTTACTTCTCTTCTCTTTTTTTGTCAGTGACAATGCAAGTTCTAGTGATACAATTTTAAAGCTTTGGAAATAGAGGACATGTGTGCATACCTTCGTAGGGCGTACAGGTTCGTTTTCTTTCTTGTTTACGTGACTATTTCCTTTACATGTATTTTATTGCATAAGATAGTTTCTATTTAAAATACTTACGATTTATATTCTTCCTTACTAATTGTTTGTGGGGAGGAGAGGAAGGGAGGAGATAGAAATATGGTTTGGTCTTTGCTATAATTGGTCGACTTGTCATAATTTAAGGTTTGTGGCTCCTCTATAGCCAATTACTTCCTTACAGCTTTTTGTTTCTTAAAATTTTCATACCATTTAACTACTGTGTCACGATTGCAGTACATTAAAACACTTGAGAAGACACTAACTTGTTGAACTTTGGGAGTCTTACAAGGCGGCAATCTAAGCAGTGATGAAGTTACCTTTATGTGAGCTTTTTACTGGTGAATATTATTTTGTTTGATTTGAGGTATGATTGTGTTAGGTTTTTTCTTCTCTTTTTTGTCTTTAACCTTTAAATTCTTGAGTATCTTTCCTATGATCTCAACGATCAACTTATGTTCTTTGGTTTGGATTTCTCATAGTTATCAAACTATGTTTTGGATAGAAATGACCGATGTNCTTTAGTAATTGTTTGTGGGGGGCGATAGAAATATGTCAATTCATTCCTTACAATTTTTTGTTCTTTAAAATTGTTATGCCATTTTCCTATTGTGTAACGAGTTTAGATATTCCATATTTAGTGCAGTACATTAAGGCAATGGAAGAGATGCCAACTTATTGAACTTTGGGAGAGACTTACAAGGCAAC